CTTGATGCGGCTTTGCTGACCTGCTGGCGTGGCGTGGAGAGTAAGACTGAAGATTATCTGGGGTTTTCTCCTAGTGTGGTGGTTGTTAATGCCTATAGTCTTAATTAATAAAGGTGCTGTGACTCTCGCTGGACTCGTGTCTTTTGGGCTTTTTCAACTCTCTGATAAGCTTGACCATGTTATCAGCAGGCATTTTCTTGTTGAAAAGTGTTGCGTTTTGTTGCTTTCACCACAAGTGGTCAGTTCTTGTGGCCTGTAGACCCGAAGGTAGAAGACTGCAGGCCTTGAAAGAAAGGTGCATTTTTTGTTTTACACCTGGCCCTAACTACCGGAGGGATTCCCTGAGGAATTAGGAAGGAGCTGGTACAGTGAGCAGCCTGGGTTGTCCTATGTGTTCCTGAGCTCCAGTCGTCCTTGCAGTGTGTCTCTGATACTCTTCCTAAAGAAAAATGGTGTCGTTATTTTCATCTTTCAGATGATGAAACTGACACACAAAGGAAAGCGGTCTGCCAAGTGTGCTGGCAGCACAAAGGAGAATAAATCCCAGTCTCAGTTTTCATCCTTGTTTTAGGCTGACTAGGTGATTGCCAGCTGGTGACTGCTTGTTACTTCTGAAACATTTCTGAAGGAGAAACCTGGTAATAGAATTATGTGGGGTTATAGTTTTGTTGTTAGTGATCTGCCCTGTCACTGAGAAGGGGGGGAGGTCCACAACCTGAAGAGGTCAGATACTTCATGGGCTTTTTTCTTTCACCCTCTTACCCTTATAGAACATGAAATTACACTTCTCTTCCAAAATACTGTTGCTTTCAGAGGACTAATGATATGTATAAGGTATCTGTTGAAAGCATGTAACTTCTGAACTTAAACTTTTAATCTGTGTATTGGCATATTACAGTAAGAAAGAAGGAGAGGATGATGAAAACTGACTTCCTAGAAGTTAACCATTAAAAATAAATGTTTGCACCTTGTTTACATGTATAGAAATGTGATCTCTTAAAGTAAACCCTACGTATATTTGGGGGGGGGCGGTGGGGGAGGTACTTGCACATCTATAAGTCTGTACACAAAATGGAGTTACACTGTCTTCCATGCTGCTTCTCTGGAGGATTAGTACTAATGCAGTTGTGTGAAAATAAACCTCTTGGCCAATTTTTTTAGAATGATTTTTATATTAGCAAGAACTGTCTAAGTTAGAGAACCAGCACTGGTGGTTGTTGGTCTTGAAGGATTGACTTCAAGATGAGAACATGGAATGCTAAGACATTATTTTGTATAAATTAATTTGCTTTTTAGACTAAAGCTACTTGCTAGCTGAAAAAAACCTGATGTATTTCAGAGAAAGTGATCTTCAGTTTAAGAAGGTATGAGACAGAAGAACTTAATTCTTGCAAGTGTTTGGTGCCTCTAATGAGGTATTTCAATCATTTTAATCGGTGATGCTTTGGAGTTTTTATTCTGACTGCTATACTAAAACCCCAGAGGTAGAGAGAAGCCTCCTTCTAGAGGCAAATGAATGAGTAATGTGGATAAATTACTTACCTATTTGGTAAAAGGGATAGAGGTATCATTTGAGTATAGGTATTTTAAATATAAAAATGAATTTCAGAATATTCTGTGTGTATCACATTATGTAAGATTTTCAACTGATTCTTTTGGAGGTGTTTGCGGGTTTTTTTTATAAATATTTCCAAGAAGGAAATAAACTTGGAGGAAGGAAGCTTGTAGATGAAATATTCCTGATTAGAAAGCAGTTACAGCTTGAGTAATCAAAATTCCTTGAGGATAGTTACGCTTTTAGATGGGCTTTAAGTACTACCTGGCTTGTTATAAAACCTCAAGCAGTAGCTGCCTTGTGCAGTATCACTTGCTCTATCTGTATGAGCTATGTGGGTTCTTAGTGAGAGATTACCTTTTGAAGCTGTAAGTTTAGCTCTTAATTTTTTCTGAGGAATTTCTCGAAATCCATTTGCCAAAAACCTTTGGGCTTTTGTGATTAATGTGATGATGAGCCTTAATAGACCTAACACCGTGGTGTTATCTATACTTCCTGACTGGCAAGCTGTCTTTGCTGGCAAGAACATGTTATATTGGCTGTAGTATCTTAAACTGAAATTGTCATTTGTAGGTCACTTGGACAGTAATTGTCAGCTCTCTGAAAAGGAGAGCTGATAACTCATCATATGACATGTATCTGTGTTCATTTTGGGGTAGTTCTCATGATTTATGAAATAAGATTAATTTGTAGGACTTCTCTCTCTTGCTCAGAATAAGTAATGATAGCTGTTTTGCATGAATGCCTGACGTTTCTTCAAAAACTGTTATTTAGAAGTTAGTCATAAAACTCAATGCAGTTGCTACTTGGTGCATATAAAGCTTGACTTTAGGGTCATTATTAGCTTTTCATAGGACACTGCCTGAAGCATCAGCTTACGGTTCAGGCACAAAGGCTTAGTGCTTTTCTTTCAAAATAGTAGCACGATGTTGAAGAATAATAGAAGTCCCATATGATTTAGAGATTAAATGAGGTTATCTCATGGCTTATGAGTTTCATATGTCTGTCTACTGAACTAATTGCAGCATTTTAACAGGGTTTTTTTTCTCCTCTTTAAGATAACTTGTGTTCTGCGAGTTAAGGACTGTCACCAGCAGCAATTCTAAATTGACCGTGTTATTTTTACTGTGTAGCATTTTGATAGACTTTGATCCTTTGCCACTTTGGCGGACTTAGCTATGAAAGTAGCCTGACAAACTTCTAACACTAGTTTCTTTTTCTCTGTCTCCCTTTTCTCTTCATTTAGTGGTCCACAACAAATACATAGCATAGGTAAAATGTTGATTTGACTCTCTTAAAAAAAAAAAAAAAAAAAAAAAAAGGCGCTTCTGAACTGACTTGAACTGACTCACTGCTTCAGTGTTAGTTCAGCATCAGGTTGAACTTTCACCTTAGATTCCTAATATACTACACTACACCAATCTGTAAAACAGAAGACTTTGGGCTGTGCTGCATAATTGCTGAAACTGAGTTTTCTGTTGTCCAGACTTGCTTGGTCTGACTTAAAGTAATAAATGGTGAACAATTGGTGTTTAACAGCATTTCTTTTGAGTGATGGCACTATGTTTTAAGGTTTTGGTATCACTTATATGCAGGCTGTCTGCAACTGAGCATCTTTATATGCTTAGGTTAAAAACCACTAGTGTCCATGGAAGTCTCTTCCTCACTCTAAGCCCACCATATTTTTTTTTTTTTTTTACAATGGGTGGAAGTGCTTAGTGTAACTCTGATTCTTTCTCATAGAACTAAATTTCAATTAAGAGTCAGTCTTGTAAAAGCCAGAGACTAATGTTTTAAAAAATAGCATATATTAGAAGGGATTGCAATAACCCATTTGTGGGTTCAGAGGTGTGTAGCTTCAGTCGTCTTCAAACTGCATTGATCAACAGGTGGGGGAAGTAAAATACATCAGAACAGCCTAAAAGCAGATATATGCTGAACTGTAACATGATTTTGATGCTATAGTGACAACTGCCTGTTTCCTGTACTGTAATTCTTGTGAGTAGAGATTTTTCTTTACATTATACTGTTTAGCTTGAATTTTTTTTTTTTTTAAATAGGGTTACATGTGCAGATGCCCAGCGAATGAGATTCTAGCTTGATATTGATACGTCAGTGCTTAAATGTCTTGTCTGGTTTTATTGGTCTATATGAAATGCCTTGCATCTTTCTGTTGTTATTATAAAGTAAACTACATGGAATCAAAGCAAAGGAGTATTTCCTGACATAAATTGCAGTTACTTTTCCTTCTGATAATAATAAATGTAGCTTTTAAATTTTCCTTTCTAGAGAATACTGTGGAATTTCTTTAAATTTCTTACTGCGTTGCCTTTTATAGGAATAAAGCTGAGAATACCAGTTTCTGAAGAAGTTTTGTCAGGTCAGTGAAAATGAAACTTCAGAAGCAGGGTTGCTGCACGCAAGTTCATCTCAAATCTTAGTAAACCTAGAAGTTCTATGTTTAGTATCTAGCTATAAGAACAGTATGAAGTGTGCTTCTAGAAATCAAGTTGTGGACTAAATGCCCTATTTGACTAAGCCAATCTACCTATTCCTGTAAAACTGCATAAATGTAACTAAAACCAATATAGCTTATATGCTTAGTAAAGAGTGGTCACTTACTTTTAGTAATTTAGGGCTGCTTTATAACTGCAAATTGAGAAATTCAGAAGAGGCTTTGTGACTTCAAAACAACTGGAGTGGAAGCTACTCTGTGAATGCTTCAGTTTCTCTAAACTGTTAAACTGTTTTGTAGCATTGTCAAAACAGAGAACAAGTGAGCTCTGCTGCAATACAGAAATAAAGAACATAAGATGTTAAACTTTCCAACTTTTGAGGAATTAACAATTCTGTTATAGGATTTTGAAGAATTAGTTAATGCTTTTTGTGTAGGAGTCAACAGTTCTTGATATGGAAGTATTGTGCTTCATAATTCTTAAATGTATTTTAAGTCACTCTTGTGAGACGCAGGATTTTGTGGTGAGTTGTTCTGAACCTTGTGTAAAGCATTTACATCAGTGCCTTTCCAAGCTAGGTAAATATGGTAACTGTAATTGAATTCATAGGGTTCTGTTTTAAAGCCTGAGCCAGTGTTATACTCTATTCTAACTGAACCTCCCACAGAAGTACCAGTGAGGTTTGTTTCCATATACAACACAAAAACCTTATGCTGGTGCATTTCTTAAATTTGTAACTAAAGAGGCTTTAAACTGCATCAGTTGTCTTAAGCAGACATTAGATTTTGTTACAGCAGTGAGTAAAATGGAAACAGTATGCCCATCCTTTCTCTAGAGTGAGAAGATACTAACTCTGTCAGGAAAGTAAATGTGCGTACATGAAAAGTTGTCATAGATCAAATACAAATCTGAATTTGACAGTGATCTAAAGTGAAGAGTAATAGTTTAAAAAAAAAAAATCTTTCTTTGTTGCAGGAATCCTGTGCGGCATGTTTTCTGGGTGGAACTGGGTGGCCCATGGCTTATATCTGCTCTTGAATATTTGTTCTCTTGAAGGTAAGACTTCTGTGTCTCAAACACAAAAGACTAGTAGGACTTCTTTGATCGGATGCTTGAAGCACATACTTGCTTTTTGTCTAGATACTTGTTGGATGGGAGCAGAAAGCATGGTCTATTAGGATAGAGAGACCTAGTCTATGCTGTTAGTACTATGGTAAAATAATGCATGTTAAACCAATACTCACTTCTGCTTCTATTCATTGCTCATCTGTGTACAGGCATAGTGAAGAGTGTCTTTGGTCAGTGGAAGGTTGCTTTGGTTCCACTTACATCACAGGAGCTGGTCACTGTAGCAAACTGAAGTTTAATGTCACTTATGCCAAGTGGTATCTTAATGAAAGGATGTCTTGGTCAGCCTAAACACTGTTAAAGCAATAAACTACCAGTGAACTAGTGTAGTAGGCTCTATGATCAAGTTATAGCTGTGGGCCACTGCTATTGTGTAGCAAGTGATCATCCTCAAGTTGTTTAGTATGGCTGTTGGTTGAAGGCAGTATTTCAGTTGTCAATTTAATCTTTAATACTTGACAGTTTTCTCTTTATTTGCCTCTGTAGAAATAGTAACAATTTTATTGTGTTGAAGTTCCTTTGTAAAGAGAGTACTATTAAATATGCAGAGTTCACTATAATTCCCGAATATGCTTATAGAATACACATTGAAGCTTTTGAGATGGACAATTCAAGTATTTAACTGTTTGCATGCAATTTTTCTAAAACTAGTCCACCACAACAAAGGTGGTCACTTATCCCAATTTTTTCGTTAACTTTCTCGACAGAAAATACATTTTTAACTGCAAGAGTAACCTCAAGTGTATTACCTTCCTCCTTCAAAACATACTAACATTCAGTCCTTGACTCTTCTCTCACTCAAGGCCCCTGTTTATTAATAGAGCTTTCCTTGCTTGGTAGAATGCTTTTGCAAAGCCTAGGGAACACTACGCTGGTTTTACCCCTTAAATCTGCTTGGTGGTCCACTAGTGCATTTCGGTCTTATAGTTGTCAAGTAACTAATTAATTTCCTGCTTAGACACATGTAGTATTTCTAGCATTACACTAGTGTTGTATGAGCAATATTGATTATTGAATATTCTGTAGTTTTTAATAAAGATGCCATTCTTTCTTCTTAGTTTCAGGTGGACTTGTACAGTCATGTGGTCACATCATCCCAGAGTCTCCTGTATTGGCCCTTGGTTCCAATTTCACAGCGTTATGCATTTTGAATGAGAGTTGTCTTGACTTTGGCAATATCTACGCTAATCAAATTATCTGGAAAATTAAAAATAGAGTGGTACCTAGAGAACAGTATCGTGAAATAAATAGAACAGTTTCCAGTGTCACATTTAATGACACTTCTTCACTAGGTACTCCTCTGACGTGCAATATTTTAGCAGATGGACAGATTGAGCAGAACATCTATGGAATTACTGTTACAGTAGGCTGTAAGTACCATTTTTCTTGCCTTTTATTCTGGTCTTAAGGAAATTGCATTCTCTTCCTTGTTTCTCAGAAGCAAATAATAGAAAGTGTGCACATCTTGAGACATTTATTTCCATTCTCTCAGTTCCTGGATAAACGTATAAAAACATTGTCAAATTGCACGCCATCAAAGCTGGTAAATATGTACAGAATAAAGTTTTCTGAAAAATAGAAAATCCTCTGGAGTATTTCAGTGTTGAAATTGAAAGAAAACAGAACAACAGAAAAATGTTGAAGCAGGAAGGCTTAAAGTACGGATAGATGTGAATTTAACTGAAATAGATCCTAGGAGATAAACTAACTTTTCCTTACTTTTTGTCTCTATTTCAGTGTTCAAAGAAACACAGTAAGGTTGTATGTCCTGCTTTCATAATAACACTATGAAATTAATATTTTCTTTATTAATGGACTGAGAATAGTCCATCTGTATCACTAAAGCTAACCTGAACTGCCTTAAGGATGGGACATACTATTTGGCTTACTCTACCTCTATGCATAAGAAAATACTTTTAACTAATTACAAACTTTCTTTGTTCAAGCATGATAACATTTGCATAGTTCAGAGCAAGTGTTCTTTGAGACAAGATGGTGATCTTGAGCAAGTAACATGAATAACTTAATATGCCACTTCTTAATTGGTTGGTGGACCATTTATAAAATAGGTGTTCGAGTGTCCTTAATATCAGAGTATGAATGACTGATGAATTATGTTTCCTTCTAGTGTTGGCAAAAGGTATTGCAGGGTCTGTATACAAAAGGCTGGATTGAGTTCACAGTTTTAACTAATGTGGTTCTAGCATGAGTTGCAAAATGCTTTCACAGAAAAACAATGTTTTCTATTTCAACTTCTGAGGAGTAAATTTCTTACCAGAAAAGATGTGACAGGCATAATATATGGAAAGATGAGAACAGATACAATATCCTAAGATGATAAAATGAATGACAGTACAGATACAAGTGAAGAATGTTATTTCACGTGTGAGTCTTGAGATGCATTTTTATTTAAAGCTACTGTATTGTCATACTGTCAATTAAAGAAAAATTCTGTAAATAATTTGAATAATAGGTTTCAGAAGAATACAATTATTCAGGAACAAAACTATAAGGTTCATAAGGTAGTTCTGTTGAAAATAGCATTCTGCTTGAAATAAGAGTCTTCAAGTGCATTATATTCTTGTAAATAGTGGTATTCTAAAAGCTAGAATGTATGCTATGATTTGAAGTTTAAGAAGGAAAAAAAGTAGTTCAGCTGCACTCTGAAAAAGTTTCTTACTACTAAAGTGCATTGATGAAGATCCCTTATCTTTCTTGTAGGTGTTCAGAGCTAAAGCATCCTTCTTCTCTAGCTCAGGTGGGGGAGAATAGACATATCACAGTTGCCTTAGAGCTCAGGTTATTGGCAAAGTCAGCATACGCCACTCCAGCTACAGTGCTCATTATCATTTTTTTCTGTTTGAATTAAAACAGATTTAGATGAGAAATGGTTGATATCAGGTTTTCTGCCCTAAAGAATGAGAAATCTGTGCTGTTCCTTACTGTCAGGTATTTGTTCCTTATACAGCCTTCTGTTTCTAAGAGCAGCTGGTTAAGCTTCTCGACTTCATTGCTATGTGGTATCTAGCACTTTTTGCCCCCTCCTTTAGAAATAAATCTGACTGTAGATACGTGTGATGTTCACTGAAATTGCTGTAATGGGAAACTTAGCATGATTCTTATTGGATTGAAATGTGTGTATCAATCAGTTATTGCTAACTTTTTCTGTACAGTGCCCCCAGAGAAGCCCAAGAACTTAAGTTGCATTGTGCATCAGGTGTCGAAACTCTCATATCCTATGACCTGCACCTGGAACCCTGGAAGGCATACATTCCTGGACACTCACTTTAGGTTGAAATATAGATGGTAAGTAGCTGTCTATAGAATATCTAAATAATTTTCAGGAATATTTGTAGGCTAAACCAAACTTTCTTGAAATTCCTTGATACTTTGAAAGAGTTCTTCACTTAAATTTAGTTTTCTGAAGCATTGCTGTCTATTTTGGGTGGAAGGGAAGAGTTAAAGAAGTTCACATTTAAAGTAATTCTAAGTCAGACTTAAAATTTTGTTGCTGCACTTGTTTTGGAGTAACAGCTATCTCGTATTTTTTCCATTCTTTAAATGCATAATTAATGCAACTTGAGTACAATATACCTAATCATTAAGTGGCTGGACCTAAATGATATATTTTACTTTTTCTGTGGTGACTTTTCTATCCCATTCTAAACAAGTAGAAGATGTCCCTGCTCATTGCAGGAGGGTCAGACTGGATTACTTTAAAGGTCACTTCCAACCCAAACTGTTCTATGATTCTAAGTAGAGAAACCAACATATAGTGACTGGATTTTGTAGAGGTATTGCCTACTCTGGACTGCCTAAGAACTCAGAATGCTATTTGTCCACAATTAGTCCTAACATGAAAGCTTGAGCAAAAGTATTTATCCTGTGAAAGCAAATTAACTTAAGTATTTTTCAAACTCTTCAAAAGATCTCTTATAGTTGTTGTGTTGTGCTCTGGAAACAGGACTGACTGACAGCTTTCCATCTACCCCATTCCACTGAAGTGTTTTGGTAACAAGTGTGGTAGAAAGTATGGATAGTTAGAAAACATCAATGCTTTGCAAATCTGATGCCCCTAGAACTATCTGCTGTTAGCGTAGGAGAAGATGGTGAACAGAAATGATGATATGTTGCAGCTGTTACAGTGTCCTTTTGAAGGATAAGCAGTTAATACTGACTATATCTCTAATGCATTAATATGCTTCTAGTTACTAGCCATATTGCTTTTGATTAAACATATCAATTCCTGATCTTTATTTTTTTAAGCCAAGTCAGGTTTTTATACAACTTCATAATTACAACATGGTGGCTTGTGCTTTTGATGGTATGTAACTTAATGTCAAGAGATTTTATCTAGTTTCTATTCTCATGCATTTGTGACTGAACAAGCCATTCTAACCTCTTCGCCTTTTCTTCCTGTCCCTCTGCTTACAAAGAATGGCAGAGGGGAAGCATACAAGCTAAACTGATTCACCACTCTGATCTGCTTAAAAAGATTCTCTAAATGAAGCCAAACTTAGTGCTTTATACCTTGTTTTTCCTTTTCTTTTGTTTAGGCCACAGGAGAACTTTCCTGACTGTATACCAAAAGATGTGAACAATTCTTGTAAGATTACTGATGTTCAGTTCTTTGTTAACCTGGAGGTCTGGGTAGAAGCAGCAAATGCTCTTGGGAAGGCTGAATCTGATCCTCTTGTTCTTGATCCCATTGAGATTGGTAACTATATGCCTCTTAATAAAGCTTTAGTAGTACGTAACTGCTGCTTCTATGCGTATTGATGAATTGGTCTGTTAATGTTTCTCCACTATAAAAATTAGCACTGCCAAAATATTGTTGTCTAGAACTTGAACTGTCCTGGACAAAGGTAGGGAATGTGAGAGATTTGATCGCATTTCAGGCAGCAAGTTATTGTTGAGTAGTCTGGTTTAGAAACTAGTGTGAAGTAGGAGCCATTTGAGCTTGTGAAAGGTTTTAATAGTAGTGTTACTGCATAGTGTGCCAACAGCTAGAGGCATGATAAAATACAGCTGTGGAACTGACTCTCAAACCTTCTCTTCTAGTTAAACCTCTGTCTCCACATAACTTATCAGTCAACTCAGGAATACTACCTACTGTTCTGAAGCTTTCCTGGGAGAATCGGATTTCAGCAGCTGTGATGAAGCTGAAATTCAATATTCGCTATAGAATCGTTGGTGACACAAACTGGATGCAGGTAATACCACTGATGTCCCTTGTCACTCTTCTGCTGTAACCCGGCCATTTGTCAGACTGCAGAAGTTCCCTCACTGCTGCAGTCCAGAGGATTTGCTTTATTATCTTTAGACCTTATGTGGTCTCCCAAGGTAGTTTCTGGCCAATTCATGAAGGCTGTGACCTAAGTTTTTTTTCACACAGTCTACAGTACAGTGACCTTGTCTTTTTCTTTGTGAGCTTTTCTCCTGCCGTCCCCATGATGTTGCAGTATGTTTTGAATTTTTATTCTGTACATGCAAGATCTAGAACATTCGTAAACTTTCATCTTCCCATGCACATGCAAAACTACTGATCTAAATGTCATTTAAAGCTTGGGCAAACACTGTACAGTACTGGGATGCTTTTTTGAACTTGCTCCACCTGCATGTGGGTCACAACAACCCCAGGCAACGCTACAGGCTTGGGGAAGAGTGGCTGGAGAGCTTGTGGGTGGAAGAGGACCTGGGGATGTTGGTCGACAGATGGCTGAACATGAGGCAGCGGCATGCTCAGGTGGTCAAGAAGGCCAACAGCATCCTGGCTTGTATCAGGAATAGTGTGGCCAGCAGGATTAGGGAAGCGATCATCCCTCTGTACTTGAGGTTGCACCTTGAGCACTGTGTTCAGGTTTGGGCCCCTCACTACAAGAAAGACATTGAGGTGCTGGAGCGTGTCCAGAGAAGAGTGACAAACCTGGTGAAGGGCCTGGAGCACAAGTCTTATGGGGAGTAGCTGAGGGAGCTGGGGTTGTTTAGCCTGGAGAAGAGGAGGCTGAGGGGAGACCTTATTGCCCTCTACAACTACCTGAAAGGAGTTTGTAGTGAGGTGGGGGTTGGTTTCTTCTCCCAACTAACAAGCAATAGGAAGAGAGGAATGGCCTCAAGTTGCCGCACGGGAGGTTTAGATTGGGTATTAGGAAAATTTTCTTCACTGAAGGGGTTGTTAGGCATTGGAACAGGCTGCCCAGGGAAGTGGTAGTCGCCATCCCTGGAGGTATTTAAAAGGCATGTAGTCGTGGTGCTTAGAGACATGGTTTAATGGTGGACTTGGGAGTGTTAGGTGTACGGTTGGACTCCATGATCTTAAAGGTCTTTTCTAACCTAAATGATTCTATACTGTATGGCTGTCCTGCATACATGCCTTAAGCCTGATGCGGTCAAGGAACTGGAGAAGAGTAAGGAATATACCTTACCTGTGGTGCACTACAATATGTTCATGTCATCAAGAGCTGTTTTTTTTTTCTTCTGCATCAGTCTATGGACTTTTTCAATAGTTTCTCAGTTTTGCCTTTCTTTAAGCCTTCTGTCAGAGCAGTAGTATTCCAGAAACACTCTTTTCATCAAGATCTTTTGTTTCAGTACAGAGACCCAAAAGTGTTCTGAATTATATGGGAAGGAAGGAGAGGTAGATATAAACTAATTAAAAAAGAGAAAAGAATATGACATATTATCCTTAGATAACTGCTTACCTGTTCTAGTCTATGTATCATATTATACTTGGTGAATACATATAACTCTGACTGATCCCTTATTAAACCATGGTTGAGAATTGAAGCTTTTGGAAGTAATGTTGTTTGTATTGGATGTGTATGCAGTGGGGCGCCCTCTTGGATGGGAGCTATAGTAGCACACAACTCAGCTTTACTATTTTTTGATCAGTGCCTCTAAAATCTTTGTTCCATTCACAGGTTCCTCCTGAAGATACAGCTTCACCAAGAACTTCATTCAGTGTTCAAGGGCTCAGACCCTACACAGAGTATGTCTTTTCAATCCGTTGCATGAAGGAAGATGGAGTGGGCTACTGGAGTGACTGGAGTGAAGAGAAAACTGGGGTCACCACTGAAGATAGTAAGTGATACATGAAAGTAGGTCACTGACTTTCAAAATGTGTAAGTGCTCAGCAATTTGGCAATAGCCAGCTGAAATAGTGTATCCTTGCTTGAGCTGTTTGATTATACATGCAACAAGGCTCTCCTGAGTTACTTTCAGTACTGACCAACTTGACATATGCATTCCAAGGAGCATGAGAATAGCTTCTCATAAAGCTAGTCTAGAGCTGTTCCCTGAAAACAGCTAAAACTGGAAGTAGGGAAGAAAAGCTTGCTTCACAGAAAGTTATATACTCAGAGTCTTTTAGAAGAGATGTAGGTTTTGTGCTTGTTTGTTGTTTTGTTGCGGTTTTTTTTTTTTCTGAAGGTTATCCTCTTAACAGAAGCTGTTCTGCCTGTGTGAAAGTTTTGTTGGATTTTTTTTTTGGTGGACCGACTGCCTTAGTTCATGAACAACTTGGTGTTTAGGACACCATTAGATAAAGCCGTACATGAACAAGCATCAATAAGAACGAAACAGGAGATTTTAGTCATATAGGGTATGTAGATTTCTTCACATAGTAAAGCAGTGAGATGAAATAATCAGAGAATCATAGAATCGTTATGGTT